TTGAAAACATCCATGTTCATCACAGTTAAAGGTACAGAAAACTACGTATGTATTTTCAAAGACTTAGGTACTGTAAGACGATACATTTACTGCCTCTGAAAACCTGCTGGAGGGTCCGTTATGAGTTAGTTCTGACTCGACAGCACACAAGAATAACAATAAAAAAGGGGAAGGAGGAGGGAGCTCTGATGGTTAAAGAGTTGCACTGCCAACTCAAAGACAAGCTGTCTGAGTTCACCAGATGCTCTGAGGAAGCAAGATACTCTTTCCTTCTGTGTAATTTATAGCCTCTACAACCCACTGGAGGGTCAACTACAAGTTAGTTCCAACTCAAAGATGCATAACAACATTATAAAAATATTAATACAAAAAATACAAAATACTGTTTGATGGTTATCAAGAATGGAAAGATAAGATAGGGAAGAAAATCTAGTAATTAGATAATAGATATATATGAAGTTAGATGAGGGACAGGTTGCATAAAATAAGGGTGTATCAATCACTAAAGAAAAGGAAGACACAAAGAAGTACATAAGAGTTCTAGATAATCAAAGGCCATTATAAACACAATCCTGCATTACTAGTAATAACAACACCATCCCACAAATATATACATAGGCAGATAGACAAAATGAACAGGCTGGCCCATGCCAGTGAAAGAGGGCATAAGCAAGATTAGTACAGTTTTGGCAATGACAGCTCAGCATGCAATCACAATGTAACCTGAGTATCTGTATATGCTACACATAAATCCATGTATACAGGAGAGTCAAGAGGGGGCAAAATTACCATAACCAAATACCTGAGGGACTCAATCAGTTGTTCATGTGGCCTCAGGATGACTGTGCCAGATGACATGCAGGTCAACTGGAATAATACAGTTCACAAGGACAATACTGTGCACTATTCCTCGGTGAGTAGCTGAAGATTTAAAAGATTTCAAGCAGCCAGCTAAGTCCTTTCACTGTCTGAAGCAGAGTGAAGAAATCAGTGATATGTGGAAACAATTAGTCCACAGAGCTGACAGTTCTTAAGAATGTCAACTTTCATGACTTATGATCAGAAAACTAGATGGATGGTACTTTGCTCTCACTGCTAATTGCTCTGAAAGGGATTCCAACACAGTTCTGGATACAGTGGAAGAGAAATGGAGAACTCAAAATCACAATAATGGCCAGCCTTCCAAGTGGAACCCCCTCAGACTCCTGCCCTGGGAATCCTGTCTTTAGCCACTCTTTGAGACTAGAATCAAATTCACTCCTATGGCACAATATTGTGGCATCAGGATTGGTGGAAGATTTATTAACAATCTGCGTTATGCAGATGACACAACCCTGCTTGCTGAAACTGAGGAGGACCTCATGCACTTGCTGCGGAGGGTCAAGGAC